AGACAGACAGACAGACAGACAGACAGACAGACAGACAGACGAAGCGCTTTATAGTAAGTAGGATGGTTGGATAGTGTTGGTGTTTTTTGCGGAACCTTATTTCCTTTATAAAACCTCTACTACATGACCACGCTCTATAAAAAAAACAAGAGAAGGCACAGAAAAAACTCTAAACAAAGCAAAAAAGCCAAGCTGGCAATTAAAAAATGGGCAGTTAGCGCGGAAGCGGAGCGAATGCGTTAATTGCTGTTTCAAGCCGCAAGACAGCCGAAAAAAAATCTGAAAGACGCAGCCCAGCAAATGTGGGAATTCGGGAAGAACTTCCGCCGCCCACCTCAGAAACTTAGCAGCTCTCTTCAACAACGTATGAATGCTGCCGAATGGGTCAATAATTGGTCTGGAACTTAAGGGGCGCTTGCAGGAGAAGCAATACCTCGTTGAGCTAAGAATATTGACACAAGACTCTTTTCAGAATTGTTGAAGTATTATAACAGAAAAAAATGCGCCAAGTAGGAAAAATTTGGACTGTATGAAAAAAAATGACATGAAAGGGGATTAAGGGAGAAAGGCTAAGCGGAATGAGTGAAAACGTCTACCTTCTTCTTTCCTTTGCCGGTTTTCGGTTGCTCTGTCCACATTTCCTTGACGTTTTCAAGGACCATGTTGCAATGCCTGAAATTTCACAGCATAGCGATAACGGAAACACAACTTAGTTCATCATTAAAAGTTGTTTGGGAACCCGTTTACAAGGCACCGCCACTAACTCCAACACCAACCATTTTCTGAAAATCAGTGTGAGCCCCATTTGTGGATAATCGGGAAGGATTGAAATCAAGAAAGCCATCGAGGCTACCAGTTAACCTCTGATTCACTTTCCAAATTTGCTGAATTACCATCTACTTAGAGCCATGGTAAACATTCCCTACACTTTTTTGATGCAGAGAAGACGAGACAAAAATATGTCCTAGAAACCTTCGGAATACTTAAGAGTGAAACGTTTTTTTTAATGAATAGTAAGAAAGTTTAACTGGAGCGGTGGGAGTGAGCATGTCCTTGGAAGCCTATTTTTTTAGCAGTTTTGCTGTTCAGTATCCGAAGGTAGTCCAGTCAGTGACTATTTCATCGTTGGTCGACTGCTAATTTATTCATGAACGACTTATGCTGGTTTCGCTCTTTTAGCTTTTTGAATGAATTCATTGACAGGTCTCAATTCCTCCAACGAAAGAGTTAATCATCAAACTGGCTATCATGATGACATGGCTCCTTCGAAGAAAGAACGGAAAAGCTTATTTAAGCTCGATTTCGATCAAGCTTAATCTAGCTTAATCGAAACCTTTTGTATGGACATTGACATCGATTCAATGGACGCAAATTTACAAAAATACCTATTTAAGATGTGGTTTTCCATCTTGAATAACCCATGCAAAGCTTAACATAGTATGTACGGCTGTCTAAGCTGAAAATCAATTCTTGAATTTTGAAACAACCGCGACTCATGCCTCCCAAGCCGCTACAATCATTATTGAAAGAGTCCGCGTTCTATGACTACTCTGTAGTTCGTAGGGTGAGAAACTACAATGGGTTTTAACGAAAAGTTCTATCACCAAGAGGTGGCATTGAAAATACAGTCAAATCGAGAGGTCCCAAAAAGCCTATAGGCTTTCAGAGCCGCCAAACCTCTTTGTCTGCATGTCGACTGATCCCGATGATTATCGAGAATTTCACAGAGAGGTCGTAGATGGTTCAAGACAAAAAAGCTATCGAGTCATAATCCGTGCCAATCGGCAATAGCTATACAAGGACAAACTGACCCAAAAAAAAGAACGAGGCTAATTGCATTAATGCAAGGAAAAAAATCAGGTCACCGCTTCGTGCCTTAGTTTTCTGCACAGTGAAGAATGCACTTCTACTACCTCTGGGACTTGGGAAGCAGATTCGAGATCAACGTTCGAGAACATGCATACGATATATTTCATATCTCAAATGGCCACTCTGATGTAGAAATTTTAGGATAAAAATTATTTTTCGCCCCATTGCTTTCAAGGAGTAAAGAATTTTCTACTCTCAAGAATCAACTGAATACATCAGTTTATAATCGGAATAAAAATAGGCTTGCAATTAACAAAAGAGTTTTTTTTTGTGCTCCTAAATGTTGAAATTTCCGTCATCGTTAATGAGGTGAGGAGTTCTTCGTTGCATGATTCACAATAATCAGAACCTGCAGTATAACTGTTTTCCTTCGTTGAAATTATTCGAGTTTATCAGATTTATCCACAGACGAAATCCATTTCATGCTACTAAGGCGTGACACGACATGATAGGTACCCAGTGACGTCCTATAATCTCACTCCCCTAGTGGTTTCCAACCCCAACACTGTGAACTGCGCAGTCGATTTTGTACAATACTGCAAACACCTCCGTCCTTGTCTCATTCAATTCAGTACAAATTGCAACCAGTTTCGTAGATTTCCCCACTCTATTTCGTAAATTTTGAATCAGTTCAGTAAATGCTTAATTCAGTTTCATTAATCCATATCGCATTTCAAAGAATTTTGTCAGAGGACAAACACTTTCTGCATCTTTCTACCACAACTATGCTGCGTTTGTTGTGTAATGCTGTTGTGTTTTTGTTAGCATCGCTGTAAAGCGATGTCAAAAAAAGGCGATGCCCACAATACGGCTGACGATGTCGAAGGGGAAAGAATCACGAAGCCTAACTCGCCGACAGAGGGCACCAATGATCGACAAAAACATAGGATTAACGACGACCATCGACTCTATCATCAAGATTTTAGCGAGTATATTCGTGTTATAGCTAAGTCAGGGAGGAAGTAGTGGTCACATGCTCACATAGGAATAAAAAATCCATCAAGAGCTGGATAGGCGATGACTTCAGTCCGACAATCACACATCTGAGTCTACATTCTTCTACACTATCAAGCATGCTCAAATTCAACCACAACCATGAACCAGCTCACGCGTTGCTTGCGTCAGAAGGGATTACCTGGTAGTAATACCAGCAGTACTGATACTTCAGCGAATCATTTCATAAACTTCACATTGAGTGGTTGAAATTTCCGACTGCAGGAAATTAAAAATAAATATAAAATAAAAATAAAGACATATATTGGAAGAGATTAAAAGGCAATCAACATCGTATATGTTGTATCCGAAATTGAATGCAACATGTACAAAATTGGTCGGGGTACACGAAAACGGAACTGATTGTAAAATCTACGGAGAGGAACGGGAAAACTATGAAATTAGTTGCAACATGCACGAAACTGAATGAGAAAACAAAGAAATTGTTTGCAATATGTAGGAAACTGACTGCGACGAGTATGTGGACTAAGGTGGAAAACTGTTCGTATGAGCATGAGGCAGCCAATAATGACAATATGGAATTGGGAGGATGGGTGGGTTTTTTTTTTTAATCTTTCATTTCAAATCTAAGACGCTTCGATCACCATCAATATATAATTCTTTTCGATATATACGATCATACGCAAGTCTTGTAGATTGGCAAAAACCTTTTCATCATGATAAATACTGATAAAAACCCCTTTTCATTATGATATTTACCTTCCAAATGATTTTTCGACTACCTTCACAGGGCTCTTATTTTTTGACGCAGAGAGCAATGACGCGCAAGCATGGGAGGTAGAATCTTGTCATAATCGATGGTCCAAGAACTTGTACTATTACCCTTGCTGGATGTGGGCGCTATGATTTCGATGGATTGATTTTAGCCTTCCAAATAAAATTTTAACACTGGTCTGAACAGCTTGGACTGGTCAGACTTGCGATACCATTCGTGCCTTGTTCAGAATACAGTTACTGTGATCAAGTCCAAAAGTTTAGTTTAGTTCAAATTCAAAATACAGTTACTAAAACTGTATTTCTGCAAAAAACGATTGAGACAGCTATGTTATTACAGGTGACCCAACGTAGGAGTCATTTCGCGGAATCCCGCATCCTTGCAAGGAAAAAAGGATGAATTCTGACGTTTCACAGAACAATCCTAGAAGAATATAATCTGCTGCATCCTGCCCAGCACGGATTCCTCAGTAAACGCTCCACGGCTACTGCCTTACTTTCAACTTTACCGCGCTGGCATAGACAGCTTGATAAAGGCAGTTACGTGTCGGTATGTTTTGTGGACTTTAGGAAGGTGCTTGATTCAATCCCGATCTCTCTGCTGCTCAACAAGTCTGAAAGCTTGGGTATAAGGGGTTGCCTCTTGCGCTTTATTTGTTCCTTTTTGTCCAATAGATGCCAGTCTGTTGTCATCAATGATGCTAGGTCTCGTGTGTACCCCACTACCAGTGGAGTTCCTCAGGGAAGCTGTATAGGTCCTCTAATGTTCCTGCTATACGTTAACGATATGCCTACTATCCTCCCGCCTGGGGTTTTTATTTCCATGTATGCTGATGATAGTAAGTTATTCACTATCAACGATGCGAGACTTCTACAGGATGGGCTAAATTCCTTGGATGAATGGGCACGAAGATGGGGTCTCGACATATCTCAAAAGAAAACAACCATCATGCGCTTAGGTAGAAACCATTCTGATATCACATTCCAACTATGTGGTTGCCCGCTGAAACGTTCGAGTTCCATTCGAGATATCGGTATCACTTACGATGATAACCTAGGTTTTGAATGTTATATATCAAAGATGGTAACCAAAGCCACCTTCCGATCTAACTTCTTATTGCGTGCCTTCGAGACTCGTGACCCCAAGCTTCTATTCAGACTGTTCGCCATTTATGTGAGACCTTTGCTCGAATATTGTACGCCTGTATGGTCGCCATACAAAGCATTTCTTATTGAGAAAATTGAACAGGTGCAGAAGCGTTTCACCTACAGGATTTTCGCTCGAAAGGGTTTGTATAGAATGCCATATGTGACTCGCCTTATCCTTATCGACGCACTAACGTTAGAGGATCGGCGGAGTATTGCCGATTTGGGCTTTTTGTATAAAATTGTATCCCATGAAGCTGATATCTCGCTCTCTGATCTGTTTCGCGTATCTCCATTCGCCAGCATCACTAGAGGCCATCCCTACAAGCTCTGCCTAGATGGTGCAAATAGTGCGTCTTATAAAGGTTCGTTTTCTTGCAGAGTTTTGCTTCCTTGGAACAACATCAGTAATGACTTCTTTAAGTTTAGGAATGCCTCAGGCTTCAAGCTAGCTGTGGCAAGAGATTTCAAAAATCGTATGTTTGCTGGCGCCAAATGTCCGAATGAGGAAGAATAGCTACTATTAATCCAAGACGTCTCATCATGTGCCAGGACTGTTTCACAAATGATGGCCGTCTAAGTTACGCTACAGATGTCAATGATATCCCTGTTATCCGTGACACTGCGTATGGTCTCATCTCATCAGGCAAACATCTTGTCTTGACTTCCTTTATGCACCACCTTTATGATGATTTTATGACGATTATTGTTGCCTAATAAGGCAACCAGCTTTCAAGGTCTACTTGTATACTGCCCTACCCCTTTTAAATTGTGGCCTCAATGTTTCACTGTTCTGTTTAGTTTCTTTTTTTTTCTGTTGTCGTGGTTTTGTTCTTTCATTATTTTTTACCTCTTTTCTTTCTTACTGCCTGGTGCTAGCTGCCGTAATTTCTATGTGGCGGCACTAGTTTCGTTTTACATTATTGTTTGATCCTCTCTTATGTCTGATCCGGGCACACTCTTATGAGTGTAATAAATAAATAAATCACGAATACTTTGAATTCACACAATCCGAACGAACCTGTCAAAAGCCTTGACTCTGCCAAGGAGTTTCTTGTTGTTTCTGCAATTGATGAGGACCTGAAAAAAGAAACCATAAAGTGATCGACATCGTAGGCAGGCATAGATGGTATTTACCTGGGCGTTATTTTTCACTGAGTTATTAAGAATGGACAGAGGCCCAACATTGAACTCTTCCTGCTCCTTTGCCGCCAACTCCTCTTGAGTCATTTCGGCACGAGGTTTCGCCATTCTTAAAAATAAACAATTATGCATTGGGCAACGATGTTAGCAGCAGTAGAAGCTATTATACATGGAATCCAAGGTCAGGAACACGGATATTCGGCACAAAAGACCCTATCAGTTGTTGGAATCTTAGCTTGACAGTTAAGTTTGTGAAAATAATCATAAGTAGAACAGCACTGATCAAACTTGAACAGAATTGCACCATTCCATTATATTCTGTCTGTACTCACACCTCATTTGTCTTCAGGCACTTTACAAAACCGCACATTACCACTTTGGTTCTATGTACTGTGTAGAGAATGCTCAAAAACCTTTGTACCTATCCGTTTTATGAGGTGCATATGGCTGGTAAACTATGAAGGCATTTGAATGTTTATGGTTGCTTTGGTTCGAAACACTATTATAAACTCACGTAGCCATGATGTCTTCTTCTGTGCTATCGTATCACTACCTGCAAATGAAACTAGCGTCAGAAATTGCACTGTAAAAGTCGTAGCTAGAAAAAAAGTCAACAAAAACGATTGTTGTCACGGGAACATCTAGCATTGGAATCAAACGGAAGCTACAGAGACTGTTGTAGAAAACACAAAATTTCAGTAACATGTCGGTGGCTGGTGATAGATCAGTTTGGGATTGACTTCTGGGCAATTGCTGAATTGGATGCGAGTTCGCTCGGCTCTCAGCGTGTTTCTGCCCACGTAAGCTCAACTCCAACTTAAGGTCAACTACACACATGAGAAAAAACGTTCCCTCTCCAGTTCGGACGCTTCAAACAGTCAACTAAGTCAACGATCGAACAGACTAGCTTTTCAGTTAGACACCACTACAGAAAGGAGAATATTTTAACAAGGAAAATCTATTATTCCCTGAACTCAACGCAAGAACAGAAGTATAGTAAAACATTTAACGAAGACTAGTGGAATTTCACACTGATAAGGTCAGAAACATCTAAAAAAGTTTTAAAAGTCCAAAAGAATAGAGAGAAGGTAAGAAGCAGCTAGAAGAACCACACTTTCTAGAAACACAGCGTCTATAGAATAAATGCGCCTTCATGCGCAACACAAAAATTCGAAATTCCTTGCGCGCGTACGCGTCGCGGTTCACCTTCACGTACAGGTTCAACGCAGAAGAACTTAAACAACATAATCAGACAAGCCCCACGTGTGAGCGGTTGCGTCGCGGGTTCGCGCTATAACGCGTTATTTTAGGGTGTCTAAGCACTGCGGGAAGACCTTGATGACGGGAGACTCCCTCTGTCGTAAATCTGCTTATTGGCAGTTGCGTAGAGCGTTTGAACGCGTTATTCCATGGTGGTTACTGATTGTACTAAGTAACTTTCTACGATCACTGGGCTGCTAAATTATAGTTGGATAATGTATGTCTCTTTTCCTGCATGTCTCCTCGTGTTTCATCCAAGACCATTGATGGGTAGTTACCCTCCCTAGTGAATGGCATGTGAACACTCCTATGTGTTTCTATTCCTATTGCAGGCTTCTTGGTTGCTGTTTCTTCTGACAAGGGAAGGATCCCAAGTCGAAGTGGCCATTTGAAATGGGACCCATACTGCTGGGCTTATTTTTTGATGCTGATTTCAAATCTGCATTCAAAATCTGCCAAACGATTTTCTGAACGAAGTTATGGAGGTGGTCT